TCAATCGAAGGAGCTTCCTCCAAAACCGACGCGTCAAGTCTTCAAAAATCTTCAAAACGAGCATTTGTTACGAGACATCTTCCAAGTGATGCGTCAGGCCTTCTTTCGCACGAAACTTCATCCAAGTGAAGCAGGAAGTGTCATCTGCGCGAGCACGGCACACAGCCAACCGAGAAAGCAGCATAGAGCAGCCACTAACACGCCAATCCGAGTGGCACAGCAACATTCACCTGCACCAATCATCGCAACCGCGCGATTCCTTACACCTGCCCGCGCAAACTGCCGCCCAGTACCTCCAACACGCACAAAGCACCCCACCTGCCACGAAACATGACTGCGACTATGCCACGAATTGACGTGTCTAGCAGGATTTGCACCGCGCCACACGCTTGGAATGATTTCGACACATTGCTGCTTCACCCAGATCCCTCGAGTTGCAACTCTACCTACGTGCGACTTTCACCAAAGCACAGCTTCGACTCAAGCACCTCTCGACACCTCCAAAGGATCACCCTGAGAACGCCAATCCCACAGGGCAACGCAAAGTGCTGACCTCACAAAACACTGCACCTGGGCAGCAAAGTCCTCCTTCACACTTGAGCATGATAGGCCAGGCTTCGACGATGTTTCAAACGAATCGAACACTTGATGCGTCCATCCAAGACCTCCTCCAAAAACGTCCCCCAAATGCGGACATGAAAGCAACATCACGCAAACAGGGCTCTACCCCCAGACCCCCAGAGATAAACGAGAACTCTTCACTACACATTCGGGAGGAGGACAAAAACAAAGGAGAACCAATGTCAAATATATATATATATAATATTATATAATCAAACATATAGTACAGAGTGATGAGATTGTCCTTTTTGGTGGGCAGGCGTTGAGAAAGATTGTTGGCTAAGGTTAGCTAGGTATTGAGGATGTTGTAAATTGTTGCAAGAAGTGGTGTAAGGAGCTACAGTAGTAGCTGGACGCAAAAAAAACTTCAGATCTTCCTTCGCATCAAAATGTGAAATAGTGTTGAGAGAAATTGTACCTAGACAAAACATGACAAAACGACAGCTACAGCAGCGATTGGAATTTACAAGAAGCAAGTGCCGGCTTTTCGTGCTTTGAACAGATCCGATTTTCTTGGTCTGTCATGGTTTGTCAAAGTCTTCAGGAAAGTGCAAAAGTGGAAAGCTGTTGGTCCTCTGGCATTTCGGACGGTGCCAAAAGCTTCTGGGACTTTGCTCGAACCTGAATGACTATGGCTATGTGGCAGTGTGCGTTTGCTTGTTTCCAGGAGCAAGGATGCTACTAGGGGCTCCTGGCATCGCTACTAGTAACAAGAAGCTACTAGGGGCTCCTGGCCTTACCACTAGGAGCAAGGACGCTACTAGCATGGTACGCAACCACATTCCATATCGGTGTCGCTTCACCAGGTGTCGAACATACTGGGGTCTGCTCAGGCAGGTGGGTGCGTCTTTGCACCCTTGAGGCACTCCATCGCCCTGGTCAACGCTCTGTTGCTCTTGTCAAACAATGTCACCCTTAGTGTCGTTTCAATTGTCTTCAATTGGTGTCATCTGGCTTTTCTTGTTCCCCCTGGTGTATATATGTCTGTCGATAGTAATCGGCAGATCATGCCAATGCCTCGTCCGTGGCGTCGCCAACCTTGCCCAATGCAGGAGCCCAAAAATCACAAAATATCAAAGACTATGCTGTTAATCTTGCATGCTACAGCTGTTTCCAAGCTCGAAGCACATTTCAAATTTCCTAAATGGTCAAGGACATAAGTGCCAGGAAAGTAGACCCGGAAGGTCTCCAAAGCAAACGGGAGCTTCACCTTCAAAGGACAAACTCATGAACATGCTAATACCGAATATCAGTCAACTGTATAGCATCTACGATTTGAGTTGCAAAGCTGCGTGCCTTCGTGGCCCCTTGATTTCGCAGGCGAGACCCCCTTGTCACGCCACCCTTTTGCACCTCCCAGTAGACCTTTCATGGGAAGGAATTGCAACACCTCACAAGGGAATAAACAGCAAACCTGCCTGCCTTAAAAGCAGTGGGACCAGGCAATTTCACAGACAGCCTTCCCTGGGAGGTCGTAAAGTTCAACGCCTGTGCCCAGATTTGATTGCTTCCGTCCGCATGAATTGAAACCTATCTTCAGCATGCTTCAGTGATGTATCTCAAATGCAAACAATGCCGTTCAGAGAGACGCTGCTTCCGTACTGTTGCCGGTACTCAGCGAATTATTGTACAAATGGCTTGTGGACTGGAGCCTCGCCCAAAGCCCTTCAGCCGAATGATATGATCAGAGAGCAAAAACCAAGGACCGTTGACCATGCACACTACAAACATGCAAACTTGATGGATCATAAAGTAGACTTATTCTTTCTTTTTGCTCAAGAGAGGATGCAATGGTTGCAGAGAATGAATTGCAAAAAAGTAATTACAGTCTGCATCTGTGCTGCAGAATACGCTTCATGCATCCATCTCCGTAAGCTCCTTCATAGGTGGGTGCGGCTGCGCCTGAAGGACGCAGTAGCTGCACCGTTAGTTGCGCTGGCACAGGCACATGTCGTGTTTGCAAATAAATGAGGCTGGCACCGGTGTTTGCGAATTGCCGTCTCCTTCGCCACCACCTACTGCGAAGTCCGTGCTGAATTTGAAGTACTTCGGCAGCATACACATGAACCTCGGCATGCTGACAGCGGTTCCTGACTAGCACAGGTTTTCGATCTATAAGTATCATTCAAAATACACGACCCATGCATCTGCAGGTTTTTGGCAAGGTTTCGTGTTTCCGAAGGGTTCGAATTGCCCAGTTTTTGCACATAGTGTAACAACATGTAACAACACAAAATTTTTCACCAAGACGCCCATGGGTGCTGCAGCAAATGTTCGGAGCAACACGGTGGCTGTAGGTCTGACCATCCGGGAACAAAGAGCACCTGTTGGCAAAAAACAAAATCAAACCAAACCTTTGATGTGCTTGTTCGCAGGATAGACTGCAGCTACAGAGTACCAAGGAATCATGTTGTGAACCGCTCTGCGCATCCACATCAAACAACCAACTACACCGGTTGACTGCATCTTTCGGAGGGAAGCACTTCTTGTAGCAAAGGCCGCCAAAGTTCTCCTCATCGACAAGACAGGCACCCTGCAGGAAGCAAACATCAATACATCTTCACAAAAGATCCCAACTGCTGTGTTCCAGGAACTTCACGACTCAGTGACTCAACCTTCTCAGGGGGTCCCGATTGGAACTATTAGAATTTGATATCACGAAAAATCACGTGTATATATATAATACACATAACTATATATAATGCATATTTAAAAAATATACATATATAATAAATAAACAATATGTAAATATGTATATATATATACCTGTGTGTGCTGTGTGTTTCGTGTTTTTTCCGGGGGTGAAAGAGTGACTAGGGCGCACCCGCACCCCGCAGAAGAGTAGACAGTAGACCGCTGTATATACAGTAGTGCCTTTTGCGCGCGAAGCTAAAGTGTCCTCCTTTACCTTGAGGCTAGAGGAGTCACAGACAACTAACATGGAAGTGACGCTGTCCAAGCCCCATTTCAGCAGGCGCAATTCATAAGTCACACCCACCATGGAGCGCTATGTCCGCTATGTCGCTGCTTTTTCTCCTTTCTAGGCCAAGTCGACAGTCCAGCAGGATCTACAAACCGTCACAAGTACCAAGGTGCCAGATACCTACAAGTCCAGCGTCAAGCACTGACAAGAAGTCTCAAAATTTAAAAGTACAGAACGGGAGCGATATCTTACTCACCCTTATGTCAAAAGAACAAGCAGTTGACACTCGGCTGTGGTCTGTGAGAGCTAGACCACACGATGTCCGAGAAATTGTGACCCCATTCCAAAAGAATGGTTTCGCATCAGTCACCCATCACCCAATTTGCAAAAACGGGCTCTTCACCCTTGTCCATGCTTTCCCAAGTTCGACCAATGAATGGCTAACAGTCCGTCAAGCCAATTGAAGAAACAGCGTACCAGGTCCTTGGAACAACCAGCTTTGTGTTGGCATCAGCCTTAATGCGGGCCTCACTGAACAAACGAATCCAGTGCTGCATGGTACTGTAATATCTGTAATGATAGTTGTACAATGACTGGCCCTGGGATTTGGCCATGAGGTATGCGCAACTGTTTGCATCAACAGTAATGCCATGATGTCTACTTCATGTGTAAAGCACTTGTAGAGCATCAATGCAGTCTGCTCTGCTCTTATTGCATGAGCTTTCACGGCCCTGGCGGTATCCACATGGAAGTTGGAGATTCTCACCGTTCGCAAACCGGATCTCTCCAAAGGAACTCGACCTGCTTCTGGACCATAGTCATCAAAGTCAAGGTGGGAGTCCGTGAACTCATCGTGCGCTCTGGCTTGACGAAGTTTGATCTCACAAAAAGCCCGTGTGACATCGCGGTGTGCACAGGTTCCAACCTTCTGATCGTGGCCTGCAATCACCTTGACAGAACCACCTGGAGCTAACCTAACCATAACAGCTAAGTTCTTCCAATCCTTGAAACAAGCGGACCAGTTGTCTTCCTCTAAAAACTTCACTGCTTCCTGAAGTCTCCAGGCTTCATGAAGAACAACTTTATACGCACGCAAAAACAACGTTATTCTCCTCCTTGTCGAACTCCAAGGACTTCTGATTCCGGTACCACTGAAAGAGTGACTAGGGCGTACCCCCGCAGAAGAGCAGACCGCTAGTGTCTTTTACGCACGAAGCTAAAGTGTCCTTTACCTTGAGGCTAGAGGAGTCACGGACGACTAACACTAACCATGGTATGGAAGTGACACTGTACAAGGCCCCATTTCGGGGCGGGGCGGGTAGGCCGCTAAGAAGTAGTTAGTAGCTAAAGTAAGATGCTACCTAGGACGCAGGATAGCTCACGCTTCTTCAAGGAAGCTCCGGCCGTTGCCCTAAAGGCGGCGGGGGAGCTTCCTTGAAAAGGCGCTCACTCTATTCATGTGGTTCCTGAAATTTTGAGGACAAAAAAGAAACAAAAGGATTTTGTCAAAAGTACAAAGAAAAGGTCTTCGAGTGTTCACCCCTTCGGCCTCGAAGGTCGGACAACCATCTCCTTCAGCATCTCCTGCACTACCATCAATACCACTCCCCCAAAGACTTCGAAAGGCCACTGTGCTTCAGGTGCTTTCTTCTGTAGACTTAAACAAGTCGAAACAGCAAGTCACTCCGCGCCCCTGGCCATAGTCCTCACTGCCCCCCATGATTGATACGCCGCCGCCCCTTAAATACAAACACTGACAAACACCTGACGCAAAAGCTAGCAGATTGGCCAACGTCACTAAACCCACACTTGGATTACACGAAGTCGAACAGCTTCCCCACTTACACAAGAACCTGTGCTTCAGTGCTGCGAATGTTTTCCCTCTCTACCTCTTCCATAGTCAGCCTCCACATGACGAGTCATCGGTGATGAAACTGCCCTAGTGTGGTCTATCAAATCTAAGCCTAAGCCTTCGAAGTAGCAGGCTCAATGTTGTCTGCCCCAAGATAGTGGAGGTGGTTGGTATTTCGGTCCTGCAATGTCGAATCCTGAACAGAAGCCAATGTGAATCCTGAGATATGGCCAATGCAATCTCTTACAGTGCTGCACCACCTAAAAGAGAGTTTGAATCGAGGTGTGGAACGATAAAATCGAATCCAAGTGTCTTTGAGTTGAAAAATGTGCCTCGGTTTTGTACCCAGATTGGATTTGCGCTGGGACTTTCAATGCTCACTTTCTGATCATGAAAAAGAATATGAGTTCTGGAAATCAAGCGGGCCGCAGGGTTCTGATGCACAGCAAGAGAACGCACTGGTACGGATTGGATAATAACCACCTGTGAGATCAGCGCACCTTGGTGAGGAATGCTAACACATTATGACAAATCATGACAATCACTGAAGCGCGAAAGGTGGACTTACAACATGAAAAAGGAACATGTAACATGTGACAAAAAAGACTGACAGTTGGCTGGCAATCTAGAACTTTTGTTTACGTCGAAATACTGGTTCGAGAAACTTCTGCAATAGGCCTGTCTTCTCTGCGTCGTTTACCGGTTGATTCTTTCCCTTCCTTCTTCGATCTTTGCTGCTGGCCGCCAGGCCAAGCAAGTGCTTTCCTGTGTTGTTCAAAGTGTAATGTGTTACTAGCTTTTGCTTTTACTATATATCTTGTACTAGCTTCATGTTCTGTGTATCGTCTGACCCACAGCTACGATCCTGGAGACAGCACCCATAGCAAAAGCATCGGCTTTTGAGAGATCCGGGAGATAGCGATGAGCCAAGGAGCGGTCACCCCATACCGCTCCGCGACCCGCTCTTCAGCTGCGTAAGCTCGCTAAAACTGCGATCAAAGCCCTCTATGGCAGGAACCCCTAACTGAGCCAACAAATTCTGCCAGCTACTGTATCTGGGGAAGTCTGCATAGCTTTCAGCAAACTGGATCGAACCGGACAAGCTTGCTGTGCAGCAAAGGTGCTTCTTGTAGCAGTTGCCTTTGGTAGAAGGGAACTCCTCCTCATCACCTTAAATGCTGTAGCAAGCAAATCTGTAGCTAAACATGCGCTGGCTTGTGAATTGAAAAAACAAATCGACCGAAATCATGTCGCGGTACTTGGACACCTGTTGCCATCCTGAAGAGCTTCATGCGGTGCCAGTGGGCTGTCAAGTGCATTCTCTGCAGCATGACCCAATGCTTGAGTCTGTTTTGTCTGAGAATTTGTTGTACTTGTCATTGGCATAGATGAAATCAAGGGCTGGTCGGTGACCTCAAAACCCGCGAGATCCCAACGACAAACCACCTGGATTGAATATATGGAGCACGACATAAGGAAATAAAAAAAACATACCAGTTCAAACACAAACAATATCAAACAGTATAGAAACGAATGGATGCATGTGAGCAACCGCTGGTGCCGACATCTTATGCAGCATCTTTGCTACACTTTGCAGCGACTTGTGCTCTTCGCTCTCGGGGTTCAGCTTGCCAGCCTCATCCATAAACTCCTGCGCCATCTGGTCCAAGGCACTTGGGCCCTGTGTGCCGAAAAGCAGTGGCCCTTGGGTGGTGGACGGTGCGGGTGTCGTCGTCGGTGCCGTGATGGGAACTGCAGTTGGCACAGAACTCAGAGTGATTGTCTCAGTTGGAGCTGCGGTGACGGCAGCAGTTGAAACTACCATTGATGGAGCAGTTGTTGTGGCTTTTGTCGTCCTCAGGCTACTGCTAACGCTGCTGCTGGTGCTGCTGCTGGCACTGCTGGTACTAGTGCTGGACGAGACCTGTCTCTCATCCAATTCTTTCTTGAACTGTTCAAATGCCTTATGCCCCAGCACCTGTTTCCACACTGGATCCTCCATCTGCAATTCAACAGTATCCCGGACTGAAGACTGAGTCATCTTCTCTGGCTTAAGCGCAAAGGCTGCTACCATCATGACCAATCCCAAGACAAATGCTGCGGCTGCGCATTGCCACCCGCATCTGCGAGACTCCTGTGGGGGAGCTTCTCGAGATTCACCCAACATGCATTCCAAGTCGGAATCTGGTGTCTGGGCTTGAAGGCGGTACATGACGAGGAACAGGCTCGAAAGCTTGTACAAAAGGTCTCTTCTTTGAGCAAACAGAGCTTCCAGTCAATGCAAATATCGCAAACACGCAGTGGAACCCAAGCTCTTGCACACGTCTCACTTGTCAGATCTGCTTTTTGCACAAGCCTTGGAAATGGTGCCATCAGCATCCACTGGCGCCCTGGGTATGTTGGTCGAGTAACTGCTGCAAGTGGACTCAAACAACATGTGCTAAGCTTAACCAATCACAGATATAGATTCAAACATGCCATGAGCTGTGTAAGATGGCCACAAGAGCAGCTCTCCTATCAGAATGTAAGATATCTGTCTGTTTGAGATCACTGCTTTTCAATGTCCAATGTCTGGAGTTTGGGGATGTTTGGACTACAAATCTTCTTGCTTGGAGTGGGTCCTGCCGGGAAGGGCCAAGCTGAAGTTGGCCCGGTACCCAAGAGCACCTAAAACAGATTCGTGATTGTCAAAGTTCAAAAAAAACAGAGTTCCTCCAAGGCATGTACAGTCACTCCTCCTTGTACTAGCGATTCTCGGACAAGCACCTACAAGTGTGCAACATTTCAGTCAAGAACGGTGCCTGCCAATTCGGGATGATGAAAAGCGAAAGGGTATAATAATCCCAAACTAGCCAATGGCATAGCTACTCGAGTTCCGAATGCCTGTGCCGTTCTGCTTGGAAGGAACAATTCGGTCGAATGGTACCTAGGACGTGAAATACAGCACACTCACCTTTGACACATGCATTTTTTGCAAAAATACCGGAGCGACCTCGAGTCCCATCCATCCAAAGGTGGAAGGGATCGCTCACGCGACAGGCGGTTCTGACCTCACTCACATCAGGTCTCACTCCACGGCTCTCAGCACAGCTGTCAGACATCTGAGCAGTAAGAAGCGTCGACTGGTTCTACAACTCTAACTATCCATTGACTCCCTCATGTCTGTCTAGTGTATGTCAAAAAGGAAGTCGTCGATGTATAAAGTGTATATATATATATATATATATATATATACACGAAGGGTGACGAAAGCCAGCTGCCGCTTCATTACGTGGGTCCCTGTATGTGGATCCCTGTCTCCACTCGAGTCCTCTATGCCCATTGTCCAAGTAGTCTCCAAAGCCCTTCATGATGCTAATGATGCACTATTCGGCGTCCATTACATCAAACCCCATGTTCACTGCTTTTCAGCTTTGGAGCGCTCTCCCCCACCAAGCTCTGGATTCACCCTATCAAAAGTTCCTGCTCAGCGACCACCCCACCCCCACACCCCCCAAACTCACTTTGTTCGCCCTAAAAGCTCAAGCCTAGCCTATCGGCTGGCTTTCGTAATGTATGTATATGTATCACCTTCTGGCTTTGACGTAGGCCCAGTCTTCTGTTGAATCGTTGTTCATTCTGTGCGCGATTGTGAGTGCTCTGTTGAGAGACCCAGGCCACCAAAGCATGCAGCGTCGGAATCTAGCCTGGGGAGTCACTGAGGGATCATAATTACAAGTTGCAACGAATCGAGACATGAAGTAACGAAATTGCTGCAGTCTCAAGCGATGATCAAGTATCTAAATGCTAGGATCCAAGCACAACTCGCAAACTCTCATTCCAGGAGTGGCCCACGCGGTAGTCCTGGATGAATGATTTAGATGTTGATTTAGATATACAAGTGATTTTCGAGGAACACGGGGAAGCTGAACAGAACCCACAAAGCTTGTGCGAAGCGGACATCTACGTAAATCAATTATGCGCCTCTAAATGTTCTGTGCTCGGGAGGAAGTTTTCCAAAAGAGCATGGAACTGTTTGATAGCAAGTTTGCAATCAAAAGAGATCAAAAGAGCATGGAACTGTTTGATCAAGCCGATACCATCATCACTACCTCAGGTCTTGCAAGTGTGAGGCCGTCCGTGTAGGAAGTTGATGGGTGGAAGTTGAAGACAAAAAGGCCTTGGGGCAGGCTGATGCAAGTGTCCGACATACACTTAGACTTAAACTGGTTTGAGAAGGCAAGGTAGACAGTTGTTAAAAAGGACTTACAGAGTATCAAAAGGACTTACTTAGTTTGCAAAAGCTTGGAAATGGTAGCATGTTGAAGCAAAGCTTGAAGCAAAGCCACAGTCTCCATGCTCGAAAGCAATGACCTTGTCCGAGTCATCCTGACGGAATTTCAGAATTCATGTCGGGAGTGACAGGAGTGTCTCGGCTGGCGATGCATGGGTGCAGGGACGCACAGGGTACAGCTATAGAGTGAGCTCCTTTCGGGAGCAAAAGCTGCGAGGCGACGCCATGAACCTCACAGTAGAAACAAAAACGTGAGTGTGAGCGTTTACGCTTCAAAAAACGAAAAAGAACACTTACTGTTGGCAGTAGAATGCCCGCACCGGCTTGTAACTATCTTGGTCAGCCACTGGAAGCGATTGTCCAAGGCCAGCATGGCTTCATCAAAGGCCTGAAAGTGGACGAAGTAGCTGCAGCTAGATGCCAGTTCTTAAACCAGTTTCTCCATTCTTCTCCCATCTTCTAGGGCAGAGTGCGGATTGGTACTTCCCTGGGCCTCGAAGAACTTGTACTTAAGATCTTCAGCATCAGGAAGATCAAAGCGACGAATTGCATTTCTGAAACTCCAACCTCACTTGGAGCACTGTTCGTGCCAGTGTTCTTTAGACCAATCTCTTTTGTTGGACAGAATATGTTTTGACTCCTTGAGATCGATAAGACATCTTACTTAAAGGGTGCATTGTTCTGCGTGACTAAGGCTTCTCAGGTCTATGCCGTTGTCTTGCGACGGAAGTTCCACATAGTCAGGGTGTGCAAACTCGTTGCCAATGAAATTGAGATATCCCTCCCGGCCAAACATGTTGATGCACGATGCACTTTGAAATACTAGCAAAATCAGAATCACTGCAATCAAACTCGCTGCATTGAGGTCAGAGTGTGATCCACATCTGAATCCATGCCTCTCCCCCCAATGCCATGGAGACCAGCCCTATGCCAAGCATTGAGATTGTATTTTAATTATATAGAAACTGGCAATCTGGGCAATATCGATGAAAAGAATGTCAAGTTCCACTCGTTCAAACAGCTCAGGACACTGCTGATCATCTTGTGTAACGCGAGCCCGCGATCGATGACCATACCTTGGTAATGACTGTTGTAGTGTTTGTTATTTAATGTCATTTCTCTAAATGGAATAAAAACAACGACAAGCGCCTGGAACGGTCATGAACAGTCCTAGAGGTGCCACAAGACTCTGTCAAATCAAACCGGCCAAAAGCAGCAGCAACTGGTCTTGTCGAAAGACTCTGTGGCCCCTTGATGCTCATGTGGGCATACATTTCCGCCTGATGCAGGGGTTTGGAGACTTTGGGCATTCGCATGTGCAGGAATGTTTGTCTGGGAAACTCCTCGGCAAATGAACACAAGCTGAGGCTGTGGATCAAAGCATCCAAGAGAGCGGCACACCGGGACCCCAACATCCATCAAGCAAGAGGCAAGTGTCTTTGATCCTATCATAGCCTGAGAAACAATCAAGTGCTGCAGTTCAAACAGTGAAGCAGGACCCACCTGGGCGTAGGATTCTGAAAAAGCGATACACGGTTCCTCCAAAAAGCTTGAGATGAACAAACATTTGCTGAATGGTAGTCAATTCAATGCTCAAGCTTTTATCAACTCTGCCCTTGATCAATTGGGTCGGTCCTTGAACCTTCTTTTCCTGAAGAAACTGTTCAGAACACAAAATAATTACAGCCACTCAATCACAGCTCTATTGGCGCAGCTATGTACGATCTTCCAAGGGGTGTATATTTTAGTGGGATATATTTGTCTCTTTCAGTGGGACATGTTTTTAAGGCTTAGCTGTGGGACGGACGGAAGGAAGGAAGGAAGGAAGGAAGGAAGGAAGGAAGGAAGAGGGTTTCTTGATTTTTTGCCGCATCAAGTTACCGTACCACCAACCAACTTTGCCCAAGGAATACCTGTCAGAATGCAGTTGTTACTCGTTTGCATTGCGGGAGGCGCTGTGCCGTCCCGCGCTTTTAAGCTGTGAGGGGAGCACATCAGTCGAGCAACCAACCAGCCCAACCGACCGACCGACCAAGCAAGCAAGCAAGTTTGCAAGCAAACTATCTATCGATGAAAATGAAAACGGAACTTATTTGGAAGGAAATTTAGAGGACATTTGAAAGGACACTTGAACGCACGGTTAAATGAACATTTAGAAGGAAACTTCGAAGGACATTTAAAAGGAACATGTCAAAGGACAATCTAAGAGAACATAAACTCAACAGGAAGTTTAAAAGGAAATCTGAAAGCAAATTTGAACTATATAAATAAACTCTAAAGGCAAATCAACTGGAAATATATAAGGAAATGTACACATAAATTTACAAATAAGGAAATTAGATGGAAATTTAAAGAGACAATCTAAAATACATAATGCAAAGTTACGATTAATAAACCTCCCCTAGTTAATCCGAAGACACAAGCCCACCAAAAATTGCCCAAATTAAAAGCATTATTCGTGCCTATTTCCCCCCCTAATTTTCTAGTTGGGCATCAGAACCCCCCCCTGTTAATCCAAGCCCACAACCAGGTCAATTTTTCGTATTACTACTACTACTACTACTGCTACTGCTACTGCTACTGCTACTCCTACTCCTACTGCTGCTGCTGCTGCTACTGCTGCTGCTGCTGCTACTCCTCCTACTGCTGCTGCTGCTAGCTATTGCTGCTAGCTATTGCTGCTAGCTATTGCTGCTA